ACCAACAAGAACAAGCTTTGCTTTCACACTCGTGACATCATCTTACTTCTGGTCGCGGTCACGTCATGTACTTGGACTTTTGTATGTTACTTTAGAGTATCCCAACGATTTGTTCCATTCGTCCGAGGTATAGTGTACACACGGAAGCCACTGGAAAACTTTCTTGAAACCTGTTCTAAAGCTATAAATGAATGAAGTGAAGCCTTGAAATGGTTGTAATATATGATGGAGACAGATTCAATTTAATTGTACGAAGGAACAAAAAAATCTTGCATATTATGGGTAGGGAGTAGGGATTTAGACATAGTAATGCGCTAACGACAATTTCACCGGAAACACGGATTGATTGTCTTCTACAAGAGTAAAGCTGTATGAAAAACTGACAAGTCTTTCAATGTATTCTGAGTTTATTCCAAGCAGGATGCTCATTATGAGTAGTCGTTATGTCGTCGATAATCTCCACAATCTGTCGTAATTAAACCTTCAAGCACATAGCTCCATATGCTAAAGGCAACGACATCGCATAATTACCAGAATAAATAAGATGTGGATGACAACTTACCTATCGTTCAGCCAACAGTATATAAACGGATTGTACATTGAATTGCTCATGCCCAACCAAAACACAGCCATGTAAATCTCACGGGCATTAGGATGACTGTACAATACATCGCTGTAGCTTCGTCCCAGTAAGAAGTAGATATGAACCGGAAGCCAGCAGATTGCAAAGATAACAACGACTATAATCATCATTTTCACAACCTGTGTGCAAAACAGCTAAACGTCATCATATAATACATTGTGAATTCGGGTCACACGTACCGACGTTGTTGCAACTACGAATACTCACACACACATTATTATTCTTTATTTCAAATAGAATATGGTAATTCCAAAAAAATAAATACCGAAATGAATGAATAAATTAAGGTAATGCACAAAGGCAACAACTGAGAGCGTAAAGAGATGACTTTTTAAAAGCACAAAAAAGCTGCCGGTAC